GGGAAACCATCTTAAAGAACCTGATAGAAGAAGGGCGAGCAGGCATTGGCAGGATGGTTAGTAGTGGGAACAATACAGATTCCTGTGTTTTTTCTAGTTCAACCTCCTATTCACCAAATCACATAACCAAAACAAGTCTGAGAGGCAGCTGAGGAAGGAAATACACATACAAAACGAATAACATCTTGTTCTTTTACTGCTGATGTTCCCGTTGAAGCTCTTCAATAAATGCGGGCAAGATGCACTGGCATTTGAAATATGTATTCCTAGTTTAGTATCCAACCTTGGAGAAAATTCAACATGGTTTAAAAGTTCTCTTTTCTAAATAAACCAGAGGGGTTTAATTCTACACTTTTGGATCCCAGGAAGGTTTGGTTGATGGTACTATGTGGTCTATAGATAAAACAAATGATTTCATATTGATATTTGGCTTCATACCTTAACTCCACAAAATCATTCTCAATTCCTGGTGGGAAAACGAGTGATGTTTGAGCTCTCTTTTTCTCCTGCAAGTAGCATAATCCTTTTTTTTTTTGTTTAGTCACTGATTAACAAATGATTAAAAATAAATGCATTAAACATTTGGGTGTCATGCTTCCAAAAAATAATCTTCACTTTTATGCTGAGCAAATCCATTTGTAGATGATAATCTCTCTCTCTCTCTCTCTCTCTCTCTCTCTCTCTCTCTCTCTCTCATACACACACACACACACATATTATGAAAATGTGAAGAATGCAAGATTAATTATTCTTTTATTTTCTAAGATATTAGACGCTCAATACCTCAAATATATATCTTTTTGGATACTTGTTTGTAGACTTATCCTCTTTTAAAAAATATTAATTTTTTAGTTGTACTTGGACACAATATTTATTTATTTTGATGTGGTGCTGAGGATCGAACTTATGGTCTCACACGTGCTATGCGAGCATTCTACCACTGAGCCACAACCCCAGCCCCAACTTATCCTCTTTTTAATTATTATTTTTAAGTTCTCTTTTCTCTAGGAAGGGAAAAATTCTGGGGGAAATTAATATTTATAAGAAAACTTATAACTGACCACTTTATGAGGAAACAAATGAAAGCAATAGAGTTGCTTTTAAAATCAACAATTTATGGAGGGATCTATTACAAATTAGTTGCTTTTACTTTTTGGTGAGAGAGACAGAAAACAGTTTGATAAATGAATTATATTTGGAGTCATCTTTGTTTTTAAAGTTTGTCAACAGCTGTCCCCAATGTAAAGAATCTTGTTTTCTTGGGCCTCAGTATTGTTCTATTTTCTTTGGTTTTGATTTTCTTTCTTACATGAATTTCTTGTGAAAAATGCACAAACGATTTGCTTTCAGTCTTTTCTTTTAGTCTGTGTCCTTTTAGGTCTATACCTTTTTCTTTGAACCTGACTTTAACTGCATGCTACAGGTTTTGGTATGGTATTTTTATTTTCATTTAGTTAAAAAAAATTTCTTATGTCTATTGTGATTTCTTTCATGGTTATTCAGCATGAGAGTTATTTAGAAGTCAGGCTATTTACTGGTCAAAGAACATATTTGATTTTAGTTTTCTGTAAACAATTGACAATTGCTTTGCTGTCCCACGTATGGTCGATTTTAGCAATTATTCCATGTGTCTTTGAAAAAGAGGATGTACTTAGCAATTGTTGGGTGTATTTTTTATAAGTCAAGGTCAAGTTCGTAAATTATGCTATTCAACTCTTCTTATTTCTTATTAGTATAATTATTTACTTTTTTGTTAATCTTGTTCTATCAATTATTGATAAGCTATATTAAAATCAGCTTCCGCTGTGATTATGGACTATTTCTCTCTATAGTTCTGCCAATTTCTGCTTATCTGGTTTGAAGTTATGCTCTCATAAACATTAGATTTAGAATCATTATATTATTTTGGTATAGTAATTCTTTTATCACTAGGAAGAAGCCATTTTTATATATGATAAGGCTTCATACTATGTTATATTTACATAAATTTTCTCTGAGCTAGTTTGCATATCATATATTTTTATCCTCTCAATTTCAACCTTCCTATATTATATGTAAAATATGTCTCTTGTAAGCACCATATTGTTGGATTTTTTTAAAAAGTTGCCAATCTGGTGATCTCTGTATCTTATAGAATATTTTGTCTTTTTACATTTAATGCAGTGATTATTTGGGGTTAAATCTAATATTTATTTCAGCAGTTCTTTATTTCTTTAATTTGTTGCCATTTATCCACATATTTTCTTTTTCTGTTGCTTTTCATTTCTTTCTGCACGGAACATGTTACCATCTGGGATCATTTTTTCTCTGATTCATTTAATAATTCCTTTAATACAAGCTTAATGGCAACCAATTCTCTCAATTTTTGTTTGCTCTAAGAATTATTCTTTTCAGTTTTAAAGAACTTTTTTTTATATGTTAGGTATTTGCTGTTTGCAGATATCTTTGTTGTTTTGTTGAGTTCCATCACTTCTGTTGAAAAGCCTCCTGATTTGCTGTTATTGTCTTCGAAAGTATTATATAATATTTTTCTCTTGCTTTTTAATGATTTTCTTTTTGTCTTTGCATTTTAGCAATTTTACTGTGATGTCTAATGAGATTTTCTTTGTATTCATCTAGTTGGGATTTGTGGTCCTTCTAACATCTGAAACTTGATATCTCATAAGAGAATTGAAAAATTCCTTTCAAATACTGCTTTTCTCATTCCTTCTTTTTTCCTTTTCTTGGAATCCAACCATAGATATGCTCAACCTTTTATATAACATATAGTTATTAATATCTTTTTCCCTCTATGCTTCAGGCTGGGTCTATTCTTTTGAACTCTTTCAGGATACTAATTCTCTTTTGAGTTGTATCTGATCTGTTGTTAAACTCCTGTTTTTAGATCTTTATTTCAATTATTGACATTTTAAGTTTGGGAGTTTAAAAATATATATATATATATTCAGTTGTAGATGGACATAATAACTATTTATTATGTGGTGCTGAGGATCAAACCCAGTGCCTCACAAGTGCCAGGCAAGTACTCTACCCTGGGTGACAACCCCAGCCCAAGTTTGGGAGTTTCTAACTGATCCTTTTTTAGAGTTTCAAGTTCTAGTCTATTATCTCTCTTATCACTTAAATTTTTGAACTCATTAAGTAATGGTTATTTAAAAATCTATGTCTATTAACTCCAATATCTGTATTTCCTATGTATTACTTTCTGTTTTCTTCTCTTTTAAAAAATTTTATTTCCCATAAATTCTTGGCTTTTTATTTCTCTATGTGCCCAGTTATTTTTTACTGATTTAAATCTGGGCTTTAATTTTTGTGAGGGTTTTTATCTATTTCTAGTTACTGCATAATCTAAGAAGTTTTACATAAATAATCACCTTATTTAAGCATTACAACATTTTCATCACATATTATGAAATATGTGATGAAAAACCCCAAACTTCTTATTAGGGATCCTAATACTTCTTATTAGGGAAACCATGTGTTGTTTAATAGCAACTGTCCTTCTTGGTAAGTCCCAAATCTATTAGACTGCTTAGACCTCTGGTTTTCTTTTTAGCTTTTACATGATTGTTCACAATTCAGCAAATGCCTCATGAAGAAAATGTTATTTTAAGGTTTTATTTCCTCTCAAGTCCTTGCTAGTCTGTATAACACTCCAATATCTTTAAAAGGACTTTTCTGTTATGCATCTCATCTAGTTACTCTCAAACTAATGGTCAATCTGATGTATTTAGCCTTTCTGCATTTATGTTTTTCATGCATAAATAATGGAAATAATGATCTCTACTTCATGGGTTAAATGAGGGTTGTACAAATAATGCATATGAGATACCTAATAAACTGTCAAGAAGATATCAAGCATTTATAAATTGATAATTTTGTGTGTATTCATTGTTATGGATTGGATGAATATCCTCTAGATGTTTATGTATTGAGGGCTTGATTCCTAGGATGGCACTATTGGGAGGTGCTATGGACCTTTATGAGATAGACTAGTGGAAGGTCCTAGGTCATTAGAGGCTTGTTCTCAAAGGGGATTGTGGGACCCAGGCCATTCATGGCTCTTGAGGTAAGCAATTTGCTCTAACCTTATTTCCAACATCATATGCAACTTCACCAGTGTCCAAAGTAATACCCTCTCCCTCTCCTCTCACTGATCTTGGATTGGAACTTACAGAACTATAAACCAAACTAAACCCTTTCTCTTTATAAATTGTTTCAGGTATTTTGTTATAGTAACAGAAAGGTAACTAATACACTCACTTTAAAAAGTTAGTATTTCATAATATGTGATGAAAATCATGTAATGCTTAAAGTAATAAGGTGATTGTCTATGTAAAACTTCTTAGATTATAAAGTACTAGAGAAATTTAAAAAATGGTTTTGAAGTATATTAGTTTAATGTGCTAGGCACTGTTGTAAATGCTTACCTGCATTATATCATTCTATATTTACAATAATCAAATGCGGATGGAGCATTTAATATCCTTATTGTACAAATAAGGCTGAGAAAGATTCTATGGCTTGACCATGCTTAGTGGGCAGGCAGAGAAGCCAGCATTCAAATCTAGTTCTTACCAACTCCAGAGATACAGTTATCAACTCCCCTCCCATCTAATCTCACTAAACAACCCTTCCCAATAAAGGAAAAAAAGATGTCCATTTTGCAGACTCTTACACAGGGTCTGGAACCCAGTGTGGACTCAGTATGTATTTATTGACTTATTGACATACACAACATACCAGTCAAATCTCCTGACATAGTAGGAAGAGAATGAATGAAAATCCAGAGTCTTCCAATAATGTCTTTAATTTCCAACTATGTAAGTGAAAAGTAATTAGGATGGATTAATATAAACAGAACAAGTGATGAATTTAATCATACACAGAGGTTTGACTATGATCTAGAAACCAGCTCTCAGGGCCATCTGGAGCCCCCAAAATTATCACCACAGGGTGGCAGTTGCCCAAGTCTATGTTTCACTTTTGCTTGTACTTACATGTGAGTCATTTTGCTCAAATTGTAGAAGGAATGTGATTCCAGCCGCTGCAGAGTTCCATCTATAGATAAGTAGCTGAACATCACAAAAATATAAGACAAAGTAGGAAGTTAGCTGGGCTGTGAACTCTAAACGTACCGTTTTTGACGTAACTTCTTTGTTAGGGGCTTCCCAGATCATGCAACATACACAACCCACATGTGTTCTGACAAATTTTATGCTAAAATTAATAACTCTTTACTTCCAGGTCCCATGATACATAAGCTTTCCCAGAACATTATGTCCAATTCATCTCACATCTCATCCAACTATTACTTCCTTTGAAAGCTTACTCCTGCCTTCCTGACCAGGTTAAATTCCCCATGCATGGCCTCATCGTACCATAAAACATCTCCCTTCACTAATTATCACAGTTTAACTTTCTTATTGTTTGGTTGATATTTGATTTATGTTATCTTATTAGACTATATTCTCTGAAATGAAGAATTGTGTCTGGTTTTGATCACTGAATCTTAAATGCATTTCTTAGTTCTTGGCACATAGTAGATTCTCAATAAGTATGTTAAGTTAATGAATGAATGAGTTACTCAAAGTAGAAAAAAAAAAGACTTAGAATAAGAATCTTTTTTKTGTGTGTGTGTGTGCCAGGGATTGAACTCAGGAGCACTTAACCACTGAGCCACATCCCCAGCCCTTTTTTGTATTTTATTTAAAGACAGGATCTCTTAGAGTTGCTTAGCACCTCACTTTTGCTGAGGCTGGATTTGAACTCGCGATCCTCCTGCCTCAGCCTTCTGAGCCACTGGAATCACAGGCATGCACCACCGCCCTCGGCAGAATAAGAATCATTTTTATTAAAGCACTTAATAGCATGAGATTAGAAGTATAGTATCCAAGAGGATAAAGAGAAAAACATAATGCTTAGTGGAACATTCCATAGGGTGTTGACTATACATTCTCTCAAGACCTCTATTCTTGATTTTGAATGGGGTAGAAAATTCAAGATTTGTCTTCAACTTTATAAGCAGAAGATGACTCAAATAAAAGTTTTAAGTACTGAAAGAAAAGAAAAGAGAAACTCCTAAATAGGACTTGACAGGAATATGTAAGGAATTATGTTTCAAATCGTGTTCTCAAATTCCATCTTATAATGAGAATGACCAATACAGACAAATTCGATGACCATTTTCTATGGAGAGGCTTTTCTATGACATTTGAGAAAATTAATGATTAACAGATGGTGTCCAGTCGTAACCATGGCAGAGATTCTCAACCCCATACACACACTTGAACTACCTGCAGGGCTTTTAAAACACACAGATGTTCAAGACCTGGCCCAGGATAATTAAATCCGTTTATGAGGAATGGATCAAACACTTTTATTTTTCAAAAGCATCCGGATGGTTATAATGTGCAGGCAAAGTTGAGAATCACTGGCCTATAATTTGAGTTGAATCTTCCAGTAAAATATTTTCACTGACACAATGTTATAAGAGGAATAACTCATTGTGGCATGCTGAGCTTTTTATCCTGGTTATTGTGAGGATTCTAATGGCCCTGTGCTTCTTGTTTTGAATGACCTATTCTCTAAACAATTATTCTTTGGTTGATCAGGTCTGCCAACCCTTTGCCCTTTGTGGATAGCAGCATTATATAAATTATTTTGATCCAAATTATTAAACGGAGCAAATAATGGAATCTTTTGAGCAGATTGATTTATTGTTTAGGGACTGCAGGGATTTATCATGCATGAATGTGAGCCATCTAAAAGAGCAAGATTCAACTTGAAGACTGACAAGTTGCTTCCCTAAGTTTTCATCCAATGCATTACACCATATCTTCTACTGAATTTCTTAGGTAAGAAGTGCAAAACCTTTCTCAATATTTTAGCGGGTTAATCCTTCAGTTCATATCATCTAACTGAAGTTTTAGTTTCTCCAACCTACACCTCCTTAAAGGCAGTTATAACTTGATTGTGAAGAAAACACACAGGAGGTACTTTTCAGTGGGGCAAAAGTAGTGATTCCCTGCTCCTATTATTATTATTCCATTTTTCTAACTAGAAAAAAAATCAGATCCACCTCTTCTTCAAATTTCTTACCATATAAATCTTACACGATGACTATAATAACTATATTATTGATTGTCCAAATTAGAAAAAAATTTTGCACCATTAATATTTATGCCAGAATAATGGGTGGGAATTTGTACTGTACCAGGCACACCTAGAGTCACCCTGGTAACCTCCCTCTCTGCCCTGAGCTATACCGTATCTTTAATTATCATTGATGCATATGTATTTCCTATCATTCAACAAAAATCTATGGAACATATACTATATTTAGACATGGACAAACAAACTTATTCTGTAGCCTCAAGGAAATCATAGTAGTTATAAATGAAAGCAAGTAAATGGGATTAACATGCAAGGTGCTTGGTGCTCTGAAGTGGTATAGGGAACACAATCCAGGGGCCCCTCTATTCAAGGCCTCCCTGGAAGAAGTCTCAGTGGGGCCTTTGAAGCTTCCTGGATGTTCTCTTCATCTCATCAATCTTCCTCTTATTGACTATTTTTTTTTTGCTTCAAACTATATCTTCAAATTTATAACTCTGCCARCTCCATCTTAGTAGGTGACTTTTTAATAATTTTTAGAAAAGATGGAAACCCTATCGACACTACAACTCTAGTGTTCACAGTGCAGAAGGAGATCATCTTCCTGTAGAAAGCCAGTCCTTCTCTTTGGATCCCATTCCCTCCTCAAGGACCACATGCTCTTAAAATTGTTCTCCTTCATCTTCTCCCTCTCTGTTATACCTTTCCCTGGTCTCAGTTCATGACTTTMAAGTCTCAATCTGGGCTCACATCTCTGCTCTGAAGCTCCCTAATCTACTTTTTATTCCCCCCACATACATTACTGTTTCCTAACTAAGTACATAATTTACTTGTGTTTTTGGTTCATTGTCTGGGTCCTCCTATTTGAACATCAGCTTCACGGGAGCATAGATCTTTCTTCACTTGTTCTCTGCTGTCTCTCTAGTTCTTAGAATAGCAATTGGCACAAAGGAGTGGTCAAATAAGTACCTGTTGAATGACTAAAACTTTTGGAGATGATGTCTATGTCATAAAGTCATCAGAATATCCTTGCACTGACAAAAAGAAGGGAGATGAGAGAGGACCACCAAGGAAATCCAAAAAGGCAAGGATTTGAAAAAGGAAAGGCTGTTTAACAACATGAAAGCTTGCAGAGATGTTAGAGATGTTCTGTGAGAGTGATCTCTCAACCTCAGCGCTGTTGACTTTTGGCCCAGGTAGATTTTACTGTGCAGGCTGACTTGTGCAAGGCACAATGCTTAATAGTGTCCTTCCCCTCGACCCACTAGCTGCCGTAGCTGCCCTTTTTCAGTTTTGATAAGCAAAAATGTCAAAATTGCCTCTGGGTGAAAACCACTGCCATGACACAATAATTAATAAATGGTCATACAATGAATAGATTTAGCCAGAAACTGTAACTGTGCAGGTTGCTCCTGGTGGTGGTATTTGGTGTGCCTGAATTACCTAGATTGCCTGTCAGAACCAATGAAGTGAAATGAAGACCTGACTCCTTTCATACACAGGTATGCTATCTGTCAACCCAATCCAGAACTTTGTGTGTGTGTGTGTGTGTGTGTGTGTGTGTGTGTGTGTGAGAGAGAGAGAGAGAGAGAGAGAGAGAGATATGCTGGGGATTGAATGATTGAATCCAGGGCCTTGTGCATGCAAGGCAAGCACTCTACCAACTGAGGTATATCCCCAGCCCCTAGAACTTCTTTTTCTCCTCACTCTGAGTGTACAGCAATTCAGTTTTCAATGTTTAAAAGAATTTTTTAATTCTATTCTTTTTGTTTTAAGTGAGAGAAGTCTGAAAACAATGGCCAAATTCTTGACCAAATTTAAACGTTTGTATTAGTGGTGACAAGTGAATCAATTGGCTAGATGGATTAGAGATAGATGAATAAATCTGTTTATGGGAGAGATTCCCAGCCAAAGTTTGGGTACCTCACAAAATATGTTAAAACATATCAAGAATGATCAACTTCTTATTGGGGACAGTAGCACACACATGTAATATCACTGACTCAGGAGATTGAGGCAGGAAAATCACTTGTTCAAGGTCAGTCTCAGAAATTTAGCAAAACCCTGTCTCAAATAATAAAAAGAGCTGGGGATGTGACTTAGTAGAGTGCCCTGGGTTCAATCCCCATTACCACAAAACAAACAAAAACAAATAAGAAACTTCTCAAGATCAAATCAATTTAAATTTGCTTTAGGTTTAAAAAGTTATCTAAGAATTAAGATGTAGGGATGTAGCAAAATCAAACGGACATCATGTTTTCAAATATATTTAAAATAAAAATACCATTGAGTCATGCAAGTATAACTACAAGTATTTTCCTTGACAGAACATATTTAGAAAATCACATGTCACAATTTCCAACTTTTCTTTATATTAAAAAATGACTTACATCCTGGAAATATTGGGCAGATTTGAAAATGCAAGACTGGGAATGGTTTTCAGACGAGTCTCTGTGAGCTTCCTATGAAAACAACAGTTATGAATTAGAGAGGACCAATGGTAAAAATTCTAATAATGCTCTTAATTATAAAAAACAAAACAAAACAAAACCTCATGATTAGAAGTACAACAGTTCTTACAACACATATTTCATCTTACATAATCAACAAAATAGTATTCAATTAAAATCATACATTTTTTTCCGAGCAGTGCAAGAGTTGAGATTCAGATACAGAAAATAAATGCTCAAATTTCATCAATGGATCAATAATAAACTAGTATCCTCTGATGCCACATTCCACTGGTTAATTGAAGGTCAGCATAATATATTCATCAGTATATTGGAACTACTGAGTTTCATATCATGTATTTGTCTATAGGAAATGACTTGGCATGCCATCAGTATACATATTACATACATATATAAAGGAATTAAACGTGTTTATTTTATCTTAAAGTTTAAAAATAGTGATATGGTTATGATGGTTTTGCCCAAGCAAAGGTGTCTAGCCATTACCTTGATCTTACTGTCTACTTGCTACCATTGAGAAGTAACAAGGAGCTAATTCTTCCTCAGAGTCTTAAGACATTTTTGTTGGATATGCAACTTAAAGGTGTGGCTTTCCCTCCAGTTTGCTTTGTTAAAAATATCCTTCAGAAGGCTGAAGCTGTTTTCTTTATAAGAAACCACCTTCATGCAATCCAGGGTGCCTCTCCACCTAGATGTTCCATTTGTTAAATTTCCCTTTCTCTAGAGTTGACTTGAATAGAATGCATATGGACAAAGGTGTGCCTCGTGTCCTAACTCACTTGGCAAAAAAGACAATGCCTCACACACTACAAATTTTTCTCCATGGATCTCTCTTTGCCATTTAAATACTGGCATTCACACACCATTTATTTAGTACCTTGTTGATAGCTAGGAGGCTAACATTATGTCTTTTCCCTTCTGACTGCAGGATTATTTCTCAATAATTTATTTCCTTGGTCTTTGTTTTCTATGGACTACTCACTTCTGCAGTGCCTAAAATGTATCTGTAACTTGCCTACAAAATATCAGCAGGATGAATTAGTTTTTAAAAGGACTATTAATATATGTGCATGGGAGTGTGATATGAACAGTAGAAAGGCAAATTTTCAGCTCTTTACAACACCAAGTGTGAAACCCAATGTTGCCTTATCATGATTTCAGAAATGCGTGTCCCTAAGTTACCTGTCCTCCCTCGAAGGTCTCTCACCTACATTCCCTTAATTGGTTTGATTAAGGGCTTATTGATACCRATCCAGGATTCTTAAATTAAAAAGATATGGGAAGAACAAGTAATTCTACTAAAATCTCTGTGTAAAATTGGGGCATGCCAAAGGAAAACAAAGGATAAGGTATGCACCTGTTAGGTATCACCCCAAAAGACTGTGTTTCTTAAACTGAAAGATAGTCATTTAAAGCTGTCCTAAGGCAAAATGTTTTAAGATTGCACACAAGTGCTTGTGGGCAATGGGGGCCTAAACTGTACCATTCACTGACTGAAAATTGAGGGGTGCAGCCTGTGTTCACAAGTAAATAATATGCATTGAATTAAATTGGAAATTAAAATAAAATTGCAGTGTTTTCTAAGAGGTCTGACATGGAACAAAAATAGTATATAAATGTAACTTAACAGACTTTGAGTTAAAGTTTCAAACAATGTTTATTTTCTTTCCCAACRTATGAGTTTCTGAAATATATGAATCCTTAAAGTCTCTTTCCTTTACACTCAAAACATACACTTTATATTAGAACAAAATATTCTTTCCAGCCAGATTTCTCACCATAAAAAGCACATAAACCATGAAGAATTATGTATCTAAGAGCAGTTGTCTTAGTAATAATGTTATATACACAATAAATCTTCAAAAATAAAGGAAGAGATGTCAGCCATTTTAGCCTAAAATGAAAGTAAATTATCTGATTGTTGGATGAACTTAATATTGTGATCATTATAGCATTGCCTGGGATGGAAGATTGGTTTCAATAATGTTAAATGAATTATTACAATGACACAGAATCATATAAATTCAAACTCAACCACAATTTAAAATTTTATACATTTCATCTTGGTGTATCCATAGTAACACTACATAATCTAGAAAAATATCCATAGTTAAGTTTTCAATTTTTTTTTTTTACTTTTAGTATCAATTGTTTCCTCTCTTTTCATCACAGATTACCTTAAGCTTTCCTTTCCTTTCTTTCCTGGATTTTAAAATGATTTTTCTGATTTTCCTTCTGAAAGCATTTAGAAAGCACTTGCTTCCAAGCCATCTATTGCTCTTCAAATAAAGAACAAGAATGATTGGCGAGGACTTGGCATCTAGTGAATTAACTAATGAAGACAGCATCTTTAGGGAACTTTTGTTCTATTTCTTTTATTCTCAATAGTTTTACTGCAAGATGAGAGATGAGGAGAATAAATTATTGTAAAAAGTGGATGCCTTTCTAGCCCCAGCTGACCTCGGATACATGAGCAATAACCCATCAGGAGGTTTTGTAGCTGTTCTGTTATGCAGCAGTCGTATAGCTAGAGCTAATTGAAGCATGTTTATCATCAATATGCTTTTCTTTGTCCCTTCGTCTAGGGAAAAGCAGCTGGATGTTCTTTCCATTGTCCACATTTTCTTTATTCAAAGAGTCTTAAGATGTTATGATTCCCCTTAGGTAGAAAGTCAGCCAAGAGCAGGTAGGGAGGGAAGGACATCAGATAGAGTGGTCCTTGAGTCACAGGACTGGAGATAACAAAAACCTTTATCCAAGCATCCAACCATCAGGGAAAATGGGGGCTGATATGTCAGACCTCCCCAGTAGAATTAATTATAATCCCTTAAGGAAACAAGAACAAGGCACAGCTATTTTTTGTGCCCAGATCCACCCTCCCTACTCTCCTATTGTGAACAGGTCATTACCAAAAACCATGTCACAGTCACCCCTTGTGATTGAGTCATCTTGACCCTGGCAAAGAAAATTTGCTGAGGGCTATACAAAGGGCAATAAACCATTTAAAGAGACTTAAAAAAAAAAAAAAACCACTAAGGCAAAACAAAGGCACTCAAAACCCAAACTCTTTAAGAGCTACATTTGTTCTGTCCTCTCCATGCCTATACTGTTTATTTATCTCACTTTTGGTATAAACTCCTGTCCCTTTCTCTTCTGTGACAGTCATTTCATCTCTGCTGGTCTCTACAACATTCACTGCTTTAATTTTTTTTTTTTTTTAAAGAGAGAGTGAGAGAGGAGAGAGAGAGAGAGAGAGAATTTTTAATATTTATTATCTAGTTCTCGGCGGACACAACATCTTTGTTGGTATGTGGTGCTGAGGATCGAACCCGGGCCGCACGCATGCCAGGCGAGCGCGCTACCGCTGAGCCACATCCCCAGCCCCATTCACTGCTTTAAAAGCAGATGAGTGGCTGGGGCTATAGCTCAGTGGCAGAGCGCTTGCCCAGCACATGTGAAGCCCTGGATTTGATTCTCAGCAGAAATCATAAAAATAAATAAATGAAGTATTTTTTCTTTTTTAAAAAAAGGGAGAAATAGGAAGTAAATCAAACAAAAAAATGAGTATGATTATTTGGCTGAATATTTTATGTTAATCTCAAAATACATTTTGAATAGCAGTGGAAAGGAGAAGGACGTAAATATTCTTCTGACAAAAATATTAGAAAAAGTTTCAAGATGTTTTACTATGGGCCAAAGAATTAGCATCAAAATAGTATTTATTTTATATTAGAGTATGCTGGATACTCTACTTATGAGACTCTGCTTTCTATTTGTCTTTGATGATTCAATATAAAAATATTATGATTAGTTTTTCTAAAATATAATTTAAAAACCGCAAAAACTTATTTCCGTATGTTAATGATTAAGGCATCACATATAACTGATTAGGAAAAAGAGTTCATAGCTATAGTTTGATATCCTAGGTGAACTCCGTATGTTTTGTGATCAGAGTAGTTTTAAGATAGAGATATTTATTATAAATGAGAATAAACAATAAACATAAGCTGACGATATAATTTAAAATTTTTTTCTACGATTAACTTAACCAAGAATTATCATTAACAATGTGACTTAGAGTCAAATGTTTCCTTTGGACCTTATTTATGTGAAAATAAAATGTGGTTTGCATTGTAATTTTTCTTTTAAGAGATTTTCAAAATGGAGTAACAAGGCCATCAAGGGTGAAGCACTTAAGCACTGGTTCAGCTGCTGCCTGGACTTTGAATGGTAATATCTCATTTTTCATCTCTAATTTTGTTGATTTAGGTCTTCTCTTTCTTTTGGTTACTTTGGTTAAGGGTTGATCAATCTTTTTTGTCTTTTCAAAGAACCAATTCTATTGTATGGATCTTTTGTATTTTTAAAAATTTTCAATTTCATCTCTGATCTTAATTGTTTCCTATATTCTACTAATTTTGGAATTAGTTTGGTCTTCCTTTCCTACATAGATGCCAAGATATTTGGTCAAACATTTTTTTTTTTCTGGATGTGTCTGTGAAGGTGTTTCTTACTGAGTTTAACATTTGAATTGGTGATTGGTTGTACAGCTTGGTGACTGTAGTGATAAAACTGTTTCTCATATGTCAAAATTGTGAAAAGAGTGGATTTTAAATATCCTCACAATGAAGAAATGATAGGTATACCTGCTGATAGACGTTAATTAGCAAGATTTGATCATTGCAAAATATATACTAGTACCAAAACACCACATTGTATCCCTTAAATATACACAACTATTTGTTGTGTAGATTCAACTTGGCATGACTGTAGCCATCTTGAGTCATGGATCACCATGATTGCCCCTGCATAACCCTATATGTTTTTTCCTGTATAATTTCCCAGCAATCATAAATAGACAAAACTAGTGGGTGGTATGTGTTGCATTACAACTGGAACCCAGCTCCAGGGATGTACCTGAATTATCTTAAGATAAACCAGGTATGTTCCAGTGAGGACAAAGTCACATTCATCTTAATCCACAAATACAC